AAACTTAAATAAATTATCTTAAAAAAAAAAGCTAGTCTGTTTAATTTTTGTTTTCACGTATCGGTGAGGACTTCTTACAGAATTGGCAATCTTAGTGACATGAGCTTTTCAGAAGAAAGCATTTTTTTTCTGGGGTCAAATAGATGCTTTCCCCACTTAGGCTGAGTGTGAGGGTCTTATGCAGATGCGCGTGCGTCTTGTGGGAGTTCAAGGAGGAGTAGGAGCGCCCCTCGGAAGGCCAGCCTGCGCCTGGTCTGCACAGGGGGTCTGTGTTGGTGGAGTGGCGCCCGTGGACGGGACCTCAGCCCAGGCCTCCAGGATGCCTGCCAGCCCTTCTAGCTGGAATCTTGATCTTGCTCTTCCTCTGAGCCCCAGCTGCCTCCCTCCTGTGTTTTTGAGGCTTGGGGTGGGGGTTATAGGTCGAACCCAATGGCATCTCCTACCTGGCAGGAGCAGGATGCCTTTATCAGTCCTTTCCAGTGTGGTTTGACAGACATGTTTTTTAAATGTTGGGCTTTCTCTTTTTCGGATTATAAGAAGTCAGTAGCCATGTTTAAATCTCTGGCCTAAACAGATGAGGGAGGTGAATCTGGGGAGCAGTGAAGGGTCTGGGAGAAGGGTCCTTAGCCCGAGGGGTGCCCAGGGGCAGGATGGGGTGAGGGCCTGACCTCCATGTCCCCAGTTCTCCCACCCAGTCTGGAGAATGCCACCCCCTCTTAGCCGAACATAGAGGGATGGCCTGGGTGGTGGACGCTCCCGTCCCCAGGCTGTCACCTCTGACTCTTCCTCTGGTGCTCGGGGGAGTCCGCCAGCAGCAGCAGGCCAATGGTGGGATTCAGAGGCAACTACGTTGAAGGGGAAGGATCCCCTTAGGGCAACAGAGACCCAGAAGACCATGGGGCAGGGCGGGATAGCCCCAGGAAAGAGGCCAGGTCCCATCCCACCTCCCTACCAACTGCCAAATCGTCCTTTGAGCCTTGGTGTCTACATCTGTAAAATGGGAAGAACATAGCACCTATCCTAGGTGGTCCTGTGAGAACCAAACGTGGTATACACAGACCCCAGACTGTGCTGCTCACCGCTGCTCCTGCCGTCATTATCCCCATGAAATAAACCAGGGGGCTGTGCCTGCAGGAGGGCTCCCACCTGTGAGAGAGAAGAACACCAGACTTTTCTGTCCAAATTTTATAGGGATAAATTTAAAGTGTCTTATTCAAGATTCACAAAACTAGATATAAAATTTAAACAGTGAGGCCTTCAAACGGTGTTTCTCTGTGGGTTGTAACTTTTCTCCCTCTGACTTTATGGAAGCGTTGAGGGGACACCCCTCTGTTTTCTGGAGGGGATGCTGCTGCCAAATTTATGAGTCTCTTAATAAAGCCAACTAGATCCTCCATTTGGCTGAATTTTGTATTTTAACAGAAGCGTCCCTGTGCCTCACCCTGCAGCGACGGGTCCTGTCAATATTGTTTCGGTGCTCAGCAGTTCTGAAAGGGATGCATGCTAGCTCATCCTTGTTCTAATCTGTGATTCCCTAATATTAATCTAGAACCTGTGTCCATATCATGCTTGACCCTCTATCTTCTCTGCTGAGGTGTCTGTTCAGACCTGTACCCGTTTTTGTTTTTGTTTTTGTTTTATTTGCGAGAGAGAGAATGAGAGAGAGCACGAAAAGGAGGAGGGTCAGAGGGAGAAGCAGACTCCCCGCTGAGCAGGGAGCCCAATGCGGGACTCGATCCAGGGACCCTGGGATCATGACCTGAGCCGAAGGCAGTCGCCCAACCAACTGAGCCACCCAGGCGCCCTGTACCCCTTTTTGATGGGGTGGGTTGTCTTCTTATTGTGGAGTTATGAGAGTTCTTTGTATATTTTGAATACAAATCCTTTGTCAATAGGGGTTTTGCAAATATTTTCTCCCAGTCTGTGGCTCGTCTTCTGGTTCCTGGAACAAGGTCGTCCACGGAAGTAGAAGGCTTAATTTTATAAAGTACACGTTACCGATCTGTGTCTGTGTGTGGATAGTCTTTTGGTGTTTTGGGTTAAAACTCATCACCAAACCCAAGGCCGTGTAGATTGTCTTCTGAATTGTTACAGTTTTGCATTTGGAATTTATCAGTGGACAGTTTTGAGTGAATTTTGGTGTACGTTGTAAAGTTTGTAGCTGAATTCATTTCATTCTGTACGGCTTCCAGTTAATTGTCCCTTAACTATCTTTGGATAAGGCATGGGATATTTGGCTCCATTCGGTTTGAATTTCAACACCTGGGGGATTCAGCGGGCCCCAATGCGGCCGCTGAACTGTGGCTGGGCGTCCTGCACTGCCCCGAGGGGCCGGCAGGGGGCAGCGGAGCTCCCCCACCCCGCCCTGCATTGCGCATGCGTATTCCCGCCTCGCTCTGTCTCCACGTGCCCGCTGACAGGAGGCGGTGAGGACGCTGAGGAGGAAAGGATGCGGAAGGAGGTGAGGAGGGGAGGAGGGGAGGACGCAGGAGGAGGAGGGGAGGGCCTGAGAGGAGGAGGAGGGGAGGAAGCCGAAGGAGGGGAGGATTTGGGGGAGGAGGTGAGGACACAGAAGGAGGTGAGGAGGGGAGGGCCAGGGAGGAGGAGGAGGCGAGGACGCTCAGGGAGCCGCATCCCGTGCATGGCCGCCGTCGGCTGGGAGGCGAGTCTCGGGAGGACGCGGGGGGGAAGAAGGGCTGGATGCGGACCCGGGGCGCTCGTAGTCGGTGGCCGGAGCTCGTGTCCCGCGTGGCTTCGGCCATGGGCTGACAGGCGTGGCCCCGTGCTCGGTGGGTGCTTGGCTGGCCCCCGGGCGCCTCGCCCGCCCCGCCGAGCTGCGCTGCTCTGCTGGCTACAGACGCGCGCGTGGTGTGGCGCGGGGAGCGTGGCGCCTGCGGCGGCTTGGTCTTCGCTCTCTGCTCTGGCTGTTCGCGCTCCGCGGGCTCCTCGGGTTCCACCCGCGTCTGGGTTGTGCGTCGTTCCTGGAAGCCGCCTCGGACTTTGATCGGGGCCACACTGAGTGCGTCTGACTTGGGGCAGTGTGGACGCCGCCGGTATGGACTCCTCCAGTCCCTGAGCACCGTCTGCTGCGTGCTTGGCAGGGTCTGGCCGTGGCGGAGGGCGGCTTTTCCCCTCCGTGCCTAAATTCCGAAGCAAGTGCCTTGGGCTCCTGGACGGCCCCGAGTAGGGCTTCCCCTTGAACCGCCTGAGCGCTGTCTGCAGTGGGCCTCAGGGCCCTGCCACCCCAGTGCCAGAAATGCTCCTGCTCCCCCAGAATCCCACTCCCCTGCAGCAGCGGCTCCTGTCTTCCTGTGCCTGGACGAGGCTCCCACTGGCCAGGCCAGTCCTTCCAGCCGGGCGCAGTGCCCGCGCCTTCTCTCTCCCATGCCAACACCTGCACAAACTGCTCTGGCAAGCAGTGGGCGAGCTCGCCTTCAGTGAGGAGGGGAGAGGAAGCGAAACATACACAGGAAGGGGGGCCATCCAAGTCCAGTGGTGCGGAGAGCCCCCAAAGTCACGCTCCTTCCACCCCTGTCCACCCCACCTCCCACCTCTGCCTCTGGGGCCCCCAAAGAGAGAAGCTCTGAGTTTTTCTGCCGCTTCCCAAGTGACCATCCACAGAGATGGTGTCGAGGAAGGCTCTGCCTGAGTCCAGCTCTGGAATTAGGAACCATTGGTCCGTCGGGGGCACTGGGGTCAGAGCAGGAACGGACAAGCACCTACTGTGTGCCAGGCGCCACCGGGCTCCACGCCCACTGGGTGAATAAGCAAGGCCATTTTTCTGTAGAAACCGTTAGTGGGGTTGGGACAAGGTGAGATTGAAGAAGATGTACATTTGTGTGTACGTGCGTGTGTGTGTGTGCGTGCGTACATACGCATATAAAAGTATGAGATACAACATATAGTATAAAACATGACTACGTGTAAGATGTAATCTATTTGTTGTTTTACAAATTACTACCCAGAAAATGTAGAATGTTTTAGTTATTTTTGGAATGAGTGTTCTCCCTGGTAGAATCAGGGTGGGCTTCCCTGAGGAGGTGCCATGGAGCTGGATCTGGGATAATAAAAGTCACTGTGGTGAGGATGTTAATCCTGCAGTGATCCCATGAAGGCCTTGTGTTCCCCACTTTGTTGATAAGAAAATCGTGGTTCTCACCTCCTTCCTTCACCTTCGTCAATGCTCCACCTCCCTAGACTTTTGTGATGTGTCCCTGGTCCCAAGATTATCCCCGCATATCATGGCCATGTGTTAGGGGTGACTCATGTCCCCCAAAAACTTCTATGTTGAAATCATAACTCCCAGTGCCTCACACTGTGGCCTTATTTGGAAATAGAGTCTTTGTAGATATAATTAGTTAGGATGAGGTCACACTGGGTCTACTACTCCCATAAGACTGGTGTCTTTATAAAAAGAGGGAATTTGGACACAGACACACGGGGAGAATGCCATGTGAGGATGAGGACACAGATCAGGATGCCGCGTCTCTAAGCCAAGGGATGCCAAAGATGGCCAGCAGGCTCCAAAGGCTGGGGGAGAGGCCTGGAGCACATTCTCCCCCACGGCCTCAGCAGCAGCCCACCCTGCCCACATCTTGATCTCAGACGTCAGGCCTCCGGAGCTGTGAGAGAGTAAACTCCTGCTGTTGGAGCCCCCAGGTCGCGGTGCTCTGTTACAGCAGCCCTGGGAGACGAAGCCACCCTGTTCTCAGCATCAGCAAGGGTGTAAACATCCGAGTCCGCAGGTCATAAGGTGGGAAGTGAGACCCGGCACGATTCAGGTTAAGATGCACCACGCATTTATTGAGCACCTATGGTGTACCAGGCACCATGCTAAGCCTGTGGATCCCCAGAGTGACCTGTCAGGTGAGCGAGATTGCCCGTGTTGCACAGATGAGGAAACAGAGGCTCGGAGGACACGAGACTCACCCGGGGGGCTGTGCCCCCAGCCCAGAGTGCCGGGGGTCAGCCCCCATCTTTCCAGCTGGGGAGCTGTGGTCCTATTGCTGGGGTGCCTGCCCCTGTCCCCTGAGGTCCTCCACGGGGTCCTCCTCGGCAGAGTGCTCCGTGCTCTCCTCCTCCTCCTCATCTCTCCTCTGGCTCCGTATGGTGGTCTGAGTCCTCTGAATGGTTAACGGTCATCAGCACAGCATCAGTAATATTAAAGGCAGCGACAAGTAGCGAGCACTTTCTAAGAGCTTCCTATAGATTTGTTCACCTGGTACTCACCACAACCCTATGAAGGGGGCCCTGTTATTAGCCCTACTTTGCAGGGAAGGAATCTGAGGCACAGAAAAGTTAAGGTACTTTCCTGAGGTCACACAGCTTGGGAGGAGTGGGTTTGGACCCAGGTGGTCTAGCTGGGGGCCGTACTTGCTTCACTGCCTTTAGAGAGAATTATTCAGGAAGCCTGCCGCCTCCACTGTGGGGCAAGGCTCCCCCTGGCCCCCCACTCACTGAGTGACTAAACCTCCCCTGATTGGCATGAGGCTGCTTAGAGTCTTTGTCGTACTTGGTTGAGCCATCAGAGGTCTTCCTGCAGAAATAGAAATGTGTTTTGCGGAGCTTGTAGGAGAACATGGAGTATGTGTACCATCTGACTTTCTGAAAATCTGAGAAATTTGGACTTCTGAAACCCATGGGCCCAAGGGCTGGGAAACAGGAGTGACCTGTCCAGAGAGCCCTTGCTTCTCAAGTGGACACACTTCAGGATGCCTCTAGGGGGTGCTCAGGACACACGGTGGCTGCACCTGCCTGGTGATGCGTGTTACTTGTGTTTCACTCCCGGGCGAGCCCAGGTCAGACCCTAGGGCAGGTCTACACACTCTCTAAGCAGTGCCTCCTCCTCAGGACCTCTTGCAAATCCCTGTCCTCAGATGGCCTCTCCCTCGGCACAGGATTCACACTCCCACCCCCAGTGCTCACCTGGCCAGTAAGAGCCCACGGGACAGCTGGGGAAAGCATGGTATCCTTGAGCGGCCGAGCATTGTAATGTCCGTAAACCCCATGCATCTTGGCTCTAAAATCCTGCCCAGGAGAGACCAGGATGGATTACTTCCAATCAGGAAATGAAGGAAGGGGCAGGGGGAGGGGGGCGGGGGAAGGGGAAGAAGGTAATGCACGGCTGGTACTAACAGAACCCCACCTGGACTAGGTCCTGTCTGGGAGCTTCCTGTGTGTTCCTCCAGGTAATCTACAGTAGCCCGGTAAGTGGGCATCATCATCCCATGTTACAGACGGGGAAACAGGCCCAGAGAGTCTAGGGAGCATCTATAGCCACACAGAAAAATTAGAGATTGCTCTTGCCCCTAAAAGAATATTGTAGAGAGTGGGGCGCCTGGGTGGCTCAGTCAGTGAACCGTCTGCCTTCAGCTCAGGTCATGATCCCAGGGTCCTGGGATCGAGCCCCGCATTGGGCTCCCTGCTCAGCTGGGAGTCTCCTTCTTCCTCTGCCACTCTCCCCACTCATTCTCTCAATATCTCTCTCTTTCTCTCTCACTCTCTCTCAAATAAATAAAAATATAATATTAAAAAAAAAGAATATTGTAGAGATGAGTGAGCACACCAGAGCCTATTTGGTCTGCATTTAATCTCATGTGGTGGTTTTAAAGCCTACCCACAAATTCTTTGAGACTTTGCCCATCAGAAGCTGGAATATAATTCTCCTCCCCTTGAATATGTCCTTAGTGACTGACTCACTTCTAAACCATAGACTGTGGCAGAAGCAACACTAAGTTACCTCTAAGGCTAGGTCATAAAAGGTGATACATTTTCTACCTGCCTCTGTCATGGGATGCATGCTTAATTTTTTTATTTTTTAAATTTTTTTTAGAGGTTGGGGAGGGGCAGAGGGAGAGAGAGAATCTGAAGCAGGCTCCACGCCCAGTACGGAGCCAGATGCGGGGCTCAATCTCACGACCCTGAGATCATGTCCTGAGCTGAAATCAAGTCAGACACTTAACCCACTGAGGCACCCGGGCGCCCCAGGATGCTCGCTGTAGACCAGCTGTCATGCTATGAGGAAGCCCACACCAGCTGGAGAGGCCTCAGGGCTGCAGACCCCTGCGGACCCAGGCAGGTGGGCCTGTGTGGGGGTGCAGCTCCTGCAGGAAGTGACCCAGGACCCCGAGCTCAGAGGCGCCCTGTGTTTGGTCTAATACTCTGCTGTCACTCTCTTGAAACTCTTAATAATCATTGAACGAAGGGCCCACATTTTCACTTTGCACCGAACACTGCAAACCAAGAAGCCTGTCCTGTATCCAGATAACAGCCATCATCTATCAGATATGGGGGAGGGAGCCTTTAACGTGACTCCAGCCCCAGCTACCAACTGATGAAAACCCAGGAAAGACCCACATAAGAGCATCCAGCTGAGCCCACCCACCCCAGAACCACAGAAGATAATCACAGTGAGCGATAGCTGTTTGAGGGCACTGGGTTTGGCACAATGTGTTAACAGATACATCAGCTCGTGCTTGATATTCATCAGATGAGGTGGGGATGATAAGCACTTTGTCTGCATCTAAACTGTAGCAAGCATTGGCCTGGGATGCCTTTTGTCACTGTTGACTCATTTGTTTGTTTTTAAACACCTGAGTGATGCTGAACAGGTTGATATTCCAGAATGATAGACTTGGGAAAATCCCCCACCTCTAGTTTTGGTAGCCAGGGGCAGATATTTAAAAGAATTCATCAGAACGAGTCTTCAAAATTCTAACAATTGCAAAATGTTGCCAATAAAATGGCTTCTCTCAAGATACCTAAACTCAAATTGAACACCACACCATCAAGTAGAAAATGGGGCATTTGAGGGGTATACCTCCAGATCTCTCTCCAGGTCATAGCTCTCCAGGATCTGGAAGGCGCTGGAATATACCTCCACCGCTTTGGCATGGAAGACCATCTCGATGGTGACAAAGTCTGAAAAAATTTTCTATGGGGAGAGAAGCCCGGATAACATAAGCAACACTGTCACAAGGGGAGTCCTGGGGTCATTGTGAATATGGACAAATGGGGGTGGAGGGTGTTAGCTGTTCTTATGGGACAGGTCATAGACCCGTGTTACTTTTAATTTATTTTGTTTAAACAGACAATACATTCCCATTCAAAAGCTGCCTTGCACGGGAATTGTTCTGGAAACGCAGAGGGCTTTCTGAGGGACGTCCTTTGCTCTGCTCTGTCACCTGGGTTCATCTGCACAGCCTTTGCTTCTCTCACTCTGAGGACAGGTGTTTGCAGGGGGATGGCTACAAAACCGCCGGCCTCTGTCCCCCGTGGGCCATGAGTGGATCTCACAACCTGACGAGCCAGTTCGTCAAAACGTAGCATTGGCTTCTCTTGATCAGATGGTTCTTCTCAGCTCAATGAGCTCTTACAGAGCTCCTCCTGCATGCCCGGCCCCAGGGAGGGCCCCCACTGCGTGCCAGGCCTTCGCAGAGGCTCCCACTTTGCTTTGGGCCCCGGCAGGACACAGGCTTGGTGCTGGGGCGGGGGGAGCTTGCAGTTTGGAAACACCCCAGTGCACACAAACATTGGAAGTCCCTGGTGGAGGGGCGGGCTCAGAGGAAGTCCCCAAGCCAGAGTAGGAGAGGAGAGGGGAGAGGGGCCAAGACGGATGGCAACACCTGCCTCCTGGCTCCTCCCTGGCCACCCCTGGGAGGCTGGCCTCGTGGTCACCTCTGCAGATCAAGAGGCAGGGCCCAGGCCTTCTCCTGCCACTCACTGGCATATAGCCTGAGGAAATGACCAATCCTCTCTGAGCCCCAGCGTCTTCATCTGTACAGTGGGGACAAGGGTGGCCCGAGTTTACAAAGCCCTACAAGAATCTCTTAGCACAGCAGTTCTGTCTGGGCTCCCCACATCAGCCCCAGCCCTACCTGGGAGTTTGTCAGAAATGCACATTCTCCAACCCCACCCAGCCCCATGGAATGGGACTCCCGGGTGAACCCATCGCTGGGGGATCTGTGTTTTAAGCAGCCCTCCAGGAGATTCCTGCTGCACGCTCAGCTCTGCGAACCCCCGTATGAAAGCATCACTTACATGCTTTCACAGAAGCCAGAGAGCTCTTTTGTAAATATGATCACTTTATTAGACATGGGACCTAGACCCGATACGGTGATAAACATTACCTCCAGTTCTGAGTTTCTGCTCTTTCAGAACTGGGAGGGCTCTCTCAGGGATGGCTTGGATAAGTGCCTCTTACAAACTTAATCCCCAAAGTTTAAAGGATGCCTATTTTAAACTGCATTCGTCTGTTGGTCCCTAACTGTGGAAGCCAAGAATCTCATCCCCAACTCTTGCTGGCACTCCACAGAACCCTGCTTTCAGGCCTTCATAAACATCAGGTCCTTAATAATGGCCTGCTGGTAGTTTTAGGTCCTGCCTGCAACACAGATGCTTGAGCTCTCCTCACCACGGGTTCTCTCCTTGTGCATTCAGTTCCCAGATATTGCCTGAGTACTGCAAAGTGCCAGGCCCTGGACCCAGTGCAGGGACCCAGCGGGGACACGGCAGGCAGGTGCCATGTCGTGCCCCATGTGTTCATGCCCCGTGGCATGGACATGCAGTGTGGGGGGCAGGCATGGAACAGCAAGGTGCCCCCCCAACACTCTTCACTCCGTAATGATTTGCATGCGTCATGGGTCTTCCCCAAGGTGTCAACTCCATGAGGACAGGGGCCTTGCTCTTCTGGCTGTGATGTCCCAGCTCCAGGCACAGCGCCTGGCACATCGTAGGTGTGTGTTCTACATTTGTTGGATTAATGGGTGAATTAAAGATACAATTAACTCATCCCCTTGGGATAACTGCGCCAAGAGGGAGCAGAGTAGTGAATTAACATCAGGGCTGGACTGAACTGGGGGTCCGGGTGAGTTTCCCTGAAGATGAGAAGGTGTTAACTTGATGCAGAGTGAGGGCAAAGCCTTCTTGGCAGAGGGCACAGCCTGTGCAAAGGGACTGAGGTGTGTCTCGGGGTTCGGTGCACCTGAGCTTGATTGATGCGTTCAAGATAAGGCTGGGCTGGGGCTTCCAGAGGCTTGGGGAGGATTTCTACCTTTATCCTTAGAGTAAGAGAAGTCATGGGAGAGCATTTAACCCAGGAGTGACGAATTGCAGCCGCCTTTTGTGAGATCCTGGGGCTGCAACTGAGGGTGGGGGGCGGGTGTCGAGAGTGGGTGCAGGGATCTCTGTGACCAGCTGGGGCTCTGGGCCCAGGATTCTGGGTTGCGCCGCAGGGGGCGGGGGTGTGGAGGGAGGCATCACCTGTCCCCCCCGGCTGACCTAAACATGGCTGGCTCAGTGAAGGGCAAGGAAAGGAGGAGGAGGTCAGAACAAATGCTGTGGGTCCTTGTGTGGAAAGCGGGGGACTTGGTGGGGGACAAAATCTGCCAAATTCTCCCAGTGGGGAGCTGGGCCTGGGCGCTCAGAGGCAGGGCCTTCCCCCTGCAGCCGGGATTAGGCCAAGATGAACTGTCCTGGGAGCCCAGGACACACCTGCTCACGTACACACGTATGTGCTCACACATACGCCATGCACACATGTGCGTGCACGCTCACACACATACACAGATGCACACACACGCACATGTATGAAAACACTCGTACGTGAGGCCAGAGTACTTCTAACACAGGGCCGACCCCGCCTACCTGTAGGTCCTTCAGCTTCTGCTTCTGGAAGGTGTCGATCATCTCCTCCAGCTGGTGGGTGGTGCGGCTGGCATCCGCTGAGGCCCTCTGCACACTGGTCTCTGCCTGGCTCCAGGGGTAGAAGTGTCATGGGGTGGTTCTGGCCTTTAGACACTATTCTGGGTCACTTTCCGTTCTTCTTTTGGGTCCGATCTCCTGCCTCATGGACATCTCTTGCCAATTTGGTCATCGAAGGAAAGACCAAATAGGACCATGGTGAAAGGGCCAGGCACTGCTTGGATGGACCTACTTCCTGGCTGTGTGACCCTGGGCAAGTCACTAAACCTCTCTGAGCCTCAGTTCCTTTTCCCTGTAAGCGGGAGCAGTAATAACACCTGCTTTGCAGGGTTGTCGTAGGAATTAAACAGTGGGCACCTGCTGAGCTATTATAACAGGTGCTCCACTTTCAATAATAATTAATTCCTGCATGTGGAACGTTTTTAGGTAATTAAGTAATTCATCTGACCCGACCCCTCACCAGGCACACGAAGAACCTGGATTTTAGAGTCAGACACCCTCAGAGTGGAGTTCCAGGTTCGCCCCTGGCCTCCCTTTTGTGACCTTGGGCAGCTCCCCTTTCTTGGTCTTGGTTTCCCCATCTAGACAATGGGCATGAGGCTAGAGGTGCCCACATCCAGTGAGCATTCAGTAAGTAGTCCTGATAAGGAGGTAGGGGCATGAAGGGGGGTGACTTGCTGGCTTACTGATCAGTGTGAACGAGGGGACAGAACCCAGGTCTCCAGAGCCCCCAGCCCACTGCTTGCCCTGCACCTTGACCTGCATCCTGAGCGCCAGGCTCTGCACATACCTGCCCAGGTAAAAGCTCACCTAGCTGTTTTGTGAGGTCATTCGTCACCTGCATGAGATTCTGCCTTCCCGCACAGCCCTAGGGCACTCACCTGGGACTGAGAAAGGTGCTGTTAAGGAGCCAGGTTAACCAGCAGCCCTGACCCAGAGGACCGCTGTTCTCACAGTGGTCATGGCCACCCTGGCCCAGCAGCCTCAGGCCCGACCTCCGGGGAAGGATACGATCATTTGCCTGTCCAAAGGGGACTTCTGCCTCAGTTTCTCCAGCTTTTCCAGTTGTTTGATCTCGTTCTTCTGGACTTGTTTGAATTTCTTGATCTCGGCCTAGAGGACAGAGGAGGGCTGTTTCCTGGATGTCTGGGTGGGCCAGACCCCATCGGGCAGTGCCCCCTACTCACCCGTGTCTGCTTGATGTGCGCCCCGTACAGTTTCAGGGGGCTGACGACCTTGGTCTCCAGCCTCTCGACCTGGGGGAGCATGGACACACAGAGAGTCAGAGCAGACAGGACCAGGGAGGTGCGTGGAGCCTGTGGGGCCTCCGGCCTGCATTTAGAGAGTGCCACGTGCTGCATGACAGGAGCCCATGGGGCGCTGCGGAAGCACAAGACACCCTCCCTCGCCCCTTAGAGGGTTGTGAGCCCCGGACTCCGCTCAGGGCTCTGCTTCCCAAAGGCTGGGGTGATACATTTCATCTCACGAGGCTTGTTACCTCTCCCATCAAATGGGTATAACTACTGTGCCCACTGAGGGTGTCATGACAGTTCACTGGGAGTCACTGCAATTCCAGTTCCCCAGACTGCCTTACGACCTCGCTGCAGGGACTAGATAGACTCACTTGGAACACAATACAGCCTGGGATTCAGAGCTGCCTGAGCTGAGCGCGCTGTGCAGCCCCCCCCGCCCCCCCCGAGGGGACAGCAGGATCTGTGAGGGGGGATTCCTCACACCCCTGAGTTGGTCCCTAACTGAGCCAGACATAGGAGCCCTCCCATACCTTTCCCCTGGGCCCCTTAAGACCCTGATTGCCGGCCACCACCCCCAGGGGATCTGAATCAGCACGTCCTCAGCGTGACCCAAGATTCTGCATTTCTAACAAGTTCGCAGGTGAGGCTAATGCCTTGAGGACCAGTGCCAGGGGGATCCCCTGAAATCTTGGCTTGCCAGATGGGCCAGGGGATCTGGAATCCCCACCAAGCCCCTTCCTTCTCCTTGTCAAGGCTTATGACCCTGCTGGGGTAAACACAAATCTTAATAACAATTTTCCCAGGAGTCAAAAGGAAAAGAGACTTTTCCCCTTGCTTTCCTTACAGCATTTTCTTTTAGAAAACCTGCAGTTGTAAATCCCTTTCTCTGTGCCTTTGGGGCTTATGTAAATCTTTTTAAAAGCTAAATAAGATTCTTGATGGTTTACAAGCCAGGCATGGCAGGTATCTCTTTGAAACACAAACATGGAGGGCGGCAGGGGAGTTTGCTCTGGGGCCTGGCTCCAAGCTCTGACGACCTGCTGGTCCCAGAGATAGGAGAAGTTTTACTTTTCCTTGGGAGAGAGGCGATTCGCTGACACAGGCGGCCGCCCTGCCGACAGGTGGACTTCGGAAGTCCCGTGGGACCAACGGTGCCTTCTGGTCGCCTGTCCTGAGACAGTGCGCGAGGGGTGGTTTCTGCACGACTGTGTCGGGGAGTGAGGTTTCTGAATGCAGACACCTATGTATCGCCCGCAATGTGTCTCATTTAGTGCTTATTCAAAAGAAAAGCTGGTTGGATCTTGTCTGCCGTCACACAGAGGGCTTTCCTGGGCTGGCAGGTGTGTATTTTTAGTCATCTCCCTAATACCCCACTGCCTCCTCGCCCTCCCCCGCCAGGATTTCTGGGGGTCCTGGGCCCCGGAATGTGCCTCCTGCCTGGGACTCGCAGAGCCCACAGCTGCAGCCCTCAGGCCTGGCTTCCTGGGCCCCCTGCCTTGTCCGGCCTGTGTCCAACACCGCAGAGCCTCCAGGCTCTCAGTCGCATAAAGGGCGGCGCGACCCCAGGGAGGGAGTGGTGTGAGTGTCCACCCTTCAGGGACGCCTTTGAAAGAGGTGTTTGTTAGGTGTGGCCCCCGCAGGGCGGCTCCCACCCTCAGACCCCCACCCTCGTCCTCCTGGGCGACCCCGCCTACCTCGGCCTGCCGGTAATCCTGCACCTTGGCCAGGTCCTCGGCAAAGCTCCTCACGGTGGCCCGCAGCTCTGGGTTCTCGGTGTTGGCGAAGTCGGTGAGCTGCTTGACAAGCTGGTCAGCCTTGTCCCGCAGCCGAGCCATCCTGCGGGTGTAGGCAGCCAGCAGCGAGCAGAACTGGCCAAAGTACTTCTCGGCATTGGTCACGGTGTTCTCCATCACCCTCACCTGGCTGTCCCTGGGGAGGAGGGGGCCTGAGAGGCTGTTCTGGGCCGTGACATCCAGGTAGGTCAGGACAGCGACACAGGGGTCACCTACACATCACCCACCACCTAGCTGTCGAGCACCCTGCCAGGTACCTGCTCCCCGCTCCCCCAGTAATGCTCACGGTTCTATCAAGGCAGATTTGGGAGACCAGCTGGACCTGAAGGCTGATCAAATGGCTGGAAGGAATGCAAAGGGTGCTTTGGCTTCAAAATCCAGCCTTACCCTCCCTGGGACCCTCCCTGGGGCTTTGATCTTCCTGGGGGAGTTATTCTGTCTTCCAACCATCCCTGGCTGCAATGGCCCCCTCCCTCCAAAATCCACCGATTCTGCTCCACGCCCCCCCCCCCGAGCTGTTGAGATTCTCTCCCTTCTCTGAACCCTGAAGGTTTTTAAAAAATTAATAAACTTTTTTGGGGGGCCAGTTTTAGGTTTACAGAAAAACTAAGGGGAAAGTACAGAGAGTTCCCATAGGCCCTCCCCTCGGGGCAAACATGGTTTCCCTGTTATTATCAACAGGGGCTGCATTTTTATAGAAGCACATGGAGTGGTTCAGAGGCACCCTGGAGTTTGCAAAGCTCAGAGGAACCAGGCGCCAAAACAAATGGGTAAGGGGCAGGCAAAGCTGTAAGACCGCATTGATAGGATCAGGGACGGTGCCACAGGGGCATGGTGTCTGGTGGGCTTGGAGGCACGAAGAGAGCTTTCCCAGGTGAGCAGATGAGGGAAAGAGGGGATGGATCCTTTGAATTTGGCCACCCCAGAGCTGTGGGCAATAATGCTGGGGAAGCAGAGGTCAGACTTTGGATGCTTCCCTGGGCTTCCCTTGACCTTGAGGTGGGGGTGAGCACCCTTTACCCATCTCTCTTGGTACATCAGGCCCCCAGACCCTGCTTCCCCTTCCCTCCCAGCCAAGGCCAGCACAGGGCCACTCACCTGTAGAGAACAATGCTCATTGTGACGGGAGGCACCAGCTGTCCTAGGCTAGGGCAATAAGGCCAGGGCCCCAGGGGTCCTGCAGGGCTGGGCGCAGCTGTGTGGGCTGGGCTCAAGGGACGCTGCCACCTGGTTGCCAGGCAACATGGCCACCCACAGCCACCCTGGGAGGAGCCCCAGCTGGTTGCCTGGCAACCTCTCCCCAGGCCAGCCTTGCCCAGCCTCGCATTGGCTGGGGGGAGGGGTCCCAGAGAGCCCGGTACCCTTCGTTTGAGGGTGGAGGTTCTGCGGAACCAGGCAGTGTGGGTTCCCTAGGACTGGACAGAGGTCAGATTTGGGGGAGCTTGCTTGGGGCTCAGCCATGAGGGGCTGCCGCTCAGCCTTCCCCAAAAGTCTGGGAGCAGCAAGCAGGGTCCTAGGATACCTGGTTACTGGGGAGGGGCTGTATGGGAAAGCACAGAGTGAACCTGGGGGGGTCCTGAAGCCTTGTAGCTGAGTGGAGGGGACGGAGCCACCAGCCCAAAGGGACTTCTTTAACATTTCAGTCATCATCTTATTTTTCCCCTCATTTATAAAAACAGTTTCTTGCTCATTGTTAGAAAAGTAAGAAAGTAAAGAGGACACAGAAAGAAAATCCAAGACCACATGATGAAACTGTACTAAGGTATAACACATTTTACTAAGTGGAAGCTGTGTATCTTTCACTGTATGTACATTTTACCTAAAGCAGCATGCAGGTCGCAACACTAAGAGATACAGCGGGAGGAGGGGCAGGTGTGGAACGAACCCACGGCAGAACGTTGGCAACCCGCTGGGCTGGGACTCCCTGGATGCGGCTGTTCATTTGGTGTGTCTGCAGGTTTTCAGAGTGGAGAGCCTTTTTTTTTTTTTTTTTTTTAAAGCACAGATAAAAGCAAGGACTTTAGAATCAGCTAAACACAGGTTTAAATCCCAGACTCCAGCCCTGCTGTGGGACCTCGGGCAAGTCACCTCCCCTGTAAAATGGGACAATATCTCCTTGCCTTGTCCTCGTTGGGAGAAAGAAGTCTCTGGTGTGAGGGTAAAGGGACAGGGCAGGGCCAGACTTGCACTGCGGTTCCCTGCACATCGGCCCAGGGTGGTGACCGTTCCCCCGCGGCGGGTCCTGGGTGCCCCGTCTCCCTGTGCTGCTGCCTGCTCGCTCCCTACACTTGGCTGTGCCCTGTGTGCCCTGTGGGCCAGGGGCAGCATGTAAACATAACTCAGCGTCGTCCTGTGCGGCAGCTCCGTGTGGGGCACGCCACTTCCCCTGACCGGTGCCCTGAGGCTCTCCCCTGCAGGACGCTGGGCGGGCTGGGGCCGGAGCTCCTATGCCCCCACTTTGTGCAGCGCACTGGGTCCCATCCCCCTCACATTCTTGGCCCTCTTCACTCTTGGAGGCTGTGCTGAGTTGAAAAGTGTCTCCCCAAAATGTCCCCTAGAACCTCTGGAAGTGACCTCTTTTGGAAAGGGTTTTTTTGCAGATATAACTAGCTGAGATGAGTCATGCTGGAGTAGGATGAGGTCTAGTCCAACGACTGGTGTTCTTATAAGAAGAGAAAGCAGAGACCCAGGGAGATGGCCATCTGACACAGGGGCTAAGACTGGAGGGACGTGGCCACTGGCCAAGGATGGCCGGCAACACCAGGAGCACGAAGAGGATCTTCCCCAGGGAGAGGCACGAAGGATCTTCCCCTGAAGCCTTCAGAGGGAGCTCAGCCCTGCCCACACCTTGATTTTGGACCTCTGGCCTCCAGACTGTAGCACAAACCTCTGTCGTGTTAATGCCATTTTAGTATGGTGGCCCCAGGACACTCGCACACCCCACTCCCTTCCCACAGCACTGCTGTGTTCCCACGTGGTCAGCCTCTCTCCCCACAGGGGCTGGTGGCCTGCCTGGTTTCTCCCGGTCCTCTGACTTCTCACCTGCGCCCTATACTTTTGATGATCCCTTTGGTTGATGAATCCCCTCCTGAGCAAGCCTGGCGGAGAGTCTCGTCCATGTTGAGAGGCGCCCACATGGAGGAGGCGCCTTTGCCCTGGTTTCTGGATCTGGTCCCTGGTCCAACAAGCATCCCTGCTCTGTGTCCCTGTCCCTCCACGCTCCTTCCTGCAAGCTTCAGCAGGAGCAAGCCTCTCCTCCTGATGGAGAAATTGCTCCCCAACTGGCCCCCCCAGCCCTCCTCTCTTGTACTCTCCGCTTCGTGCAGCTTTGCAGACAAGTGGCCTTTCCTTGCTCTCGGTTCCCTTCACTCCCTCTTGCCTTTGCGGTCGTTCTTCATTGTCACTACATCCAGTGCCCTTCCTCGGCCATGTCCCCTGCCAGCAACATCCAGGCCTGCAGCTCGCTCGATGGATTTTGGACTTGCCAGCCCCCACAGTCCCACGAGCCAGCTCCTTAGAATAAGTCCCTCCTCCCTGAGGGACTGGTTCTGTTTCTCTGGAGACACGCCGCTCTGGTAGGACCAGGAGAAGCTGCGAAGCTCTGCAGGCTTCTGCCCTCCAGGAGGGGCGTCTGTGTTGTCGGCGATGGCCACAGGAGGGCAGCAGAGACCCCCTTATGAGGACCTCCAGCGTGCGGGGCAGTGAGGCTGGGGACCTGGAAACCCAGCGCGGGGAGCACAGCCCAGAAGACACCACCTTAACGCAGAGGGCAGAAAGAGCAACGGGGAGGGGGGAGTCGGAGAGAAAGGGCGACGTTTTAATTCACGTCTTAGAGATTTTAAGGAACTTTCCAAAAGGAAAACCACCTTCCCGCAGGGCCACGTGGAGACCTCTTGCGGCCAGAGAGAGAACAGCGGGGGCATAGGGAGCACCGCGCCTGCAGGGGCCCCCCTCCCGCCGCCTCCTGCCCTCTCTCCACCCCACACCCCTTCTCAGAGCGGGCTGGTCTGAGTCCTTGAGAACAACTGAAAACACAGCTGCTGGAACCAGTGGGTGGAGAGCCCGTGGACTCTCTCTTTCCTGTAAACATTTCTGCCGAACCCCGCAAGGGATGCAGACATCCTGACCCTTTGCCCAGACCCCAGCGTGCACCTACAAGGAGCCAGGGCATTCTCCTACGAGCCCTCATGGGACTGTCACACCCAGGAAATTAACACGGACGCAATACCCCCTCTTGAAATCCCCGCGTCCCCCACCGTCCCATGCGTGTCCCTGAGAGCTGGCTTTCCTGCTGATTCGGGAGGCGTTGCAATTCCTGCCTGAGTCTACTTGGTCTCCTTAAATTGGGAACTGCTCCTCAACCTTGTTTTCTTTCAAGATACTGACTTTTCTATTTTGCAACTTTTTATTTTGAAATCGTTTCAGTTGTACACAAATCATGCAAGAACGCTTTCACCCAAATTCCCCAATTGGGAACATTTTACTGAGTTTGTCTTACCATTCTCACTCTCTTTCTGTGTATGTATGTTATTCTCTGATCCACTTGAGAGCAAGCTGCAGACCCAATACCCCTTTACCCAGACACTTCACGGGTGCTTCCTAAGAGAAGGGCAGGTCTTTTAGGCAGCCACAGTACAAATGGTGAAATCAGGAAACTAACACATATTATTTTATTCTATTATCTCATCTACCGACTTTGTTCAGAATTCATACTTGTCCTAATAATGTCATTTTAGTCAATAAGCAAACATAATTTTCTCCTGTTCCAGGATCTGATCCAGGCTCACCTGCTGTCTTTAGCTGGCCTGATTCTGACATTTTTGTGGACTCTGGGCCAGTTGTTTTGGAGAACGTTGCTCCATTTGGGGTCATTGATGTTTCCTGGAAGATTGGGTTGCACACTTGGGAGGAGGGCTCAGAGCTGGTCTCAGGACAGGCCAGGACTCCTCACTGAGGCTCCGTGAAGTAGGAATAGTAATCGTCCGCCCTCATCAGGTCACTTTGGGGAGATGTTGGGAAGGACCCTCAGTGTCTGGCCATAGTAACCCAGGGCAGGATGGAAGTGCCAGATCCAGATGGGCAGAGGGCTTGCCAGAGCCTGCAGGGGCCCCGTCGCCACATGTAGTCTGACCTAACTGGGCTCAGGGAGCTCTTCCCTCCCAGATCCAAGCCTCAGACGTTGTCAGTGCAGCCAAAGATCAAATTAGTTGTTTTTTTTCCAGCAGCCACATTACACTGTACTGACATTTCTCAGACTGCAAAACCAGCCGGCTAATGCATGGACTCAGATGGGGGCTCAGTTCGGGGCTGCTGCAGACCCCACACTTGGCAGCGTGTTTGTGACCCTGCCAGGGCCCAGCATTTCTTCCGATTCTGAGTCTGGTTTGGGGGATGTGTGCAGAGATCTTGGGGGTCATGCTAAGAGGCCCCAGGGGGAATGGGGTGGGGTGGAGCCCCCCAGCTGGGTCCTGGTTGGTGGTCCAGACCCCTGGGAAATGGCTCCATCCCAAATGGGGATGCACTGGGGGAGCATCAGGCCAGCCCAGGAGGGGTATGGCTGGGAGGCGTGTTGGAGAAGCGGGTGGTAGAGTATGCTTCCCCAGGCGCTGGGCCCTGAATTGGCGAAGAGCAATAAAGAACGGAGCAGAGTGTCTCAGTTCCACGTGATGGGCAGCCCCTGGAAGGGGCAGGGGTGGGGTTCTCATCCTGCCTACCCTTTACACCCCCAGACTCTGCCTCCTGCTCTGACTCCTGACCTCCAGGACATGAGATAATAAATGTGTTGTGTTAAGCCACTAAGTTTGTGGTCATTTGCTACAATAGCCACAGGAAACTCCCTCTAAATTCCAAGCCTGACCGTTTATCCCTTCTCTGGGGCTGGCCACAGAGCACACAGAAGTAATACAAACCCTGAAGGACCAGAGAACTGGTGGGGCGCCTGTCCAGGGGGCGCTGATCGTGAAGCCCCCACTGCCCTCATGGGCTTTAACATGCTCCCCACTCCTGGACGTGGGCCCTAAGCTCCAGACTGGACCCCTGGCACTTTGCTCCTGTTCTTCCCATTGCTTGAGCCCTGGTTCTCAGCCCACAGACCCGCAGGCAGGAGGACTGTGGAGCCAGAGTGTCCAAGTCCAAATACAGCCCTGCTGAGTGCCTT